TAATCAAGTTGACACATCTACCTTTTTTTTTTTTTTGGTTTATTGTTACTCATGAATTTGACTTTGTTCTTTAACAGCAATATTAAATTATTTAAGAAAATGATCCCCTTATCTCTAATTACATGATTATACAAAATATTGACAGTATTCACAATCATATATATACATTTCATTTACAATGATATAACAATATGTTTTTTATTTTGTCTTAATAAAAAACAAAATTTTATAAGGACTAACTTAACTACATTACACAAATCAGAAAATAAGTTTATTAATCTAATCCTAGTTGTGTCATTAAACGACTTTTTTGAAATTCTTAGCAAAGAGGTGATATTTATGATTAAAACTAGCACCTATTAATTTAAATCAAAGAAATGCTTCTGAAATGTTCTATTGTAAACCAAAGAAATATTATTAATGTATTTCATTACCTTTGCTGAGCTCCAAATAAAAATTAACTGAAGTAAAAACTCGAAATAACAGCTAAATAGAAATCAATTGAGTAGAAGATTTGTTTCCAGTAATTGAGCCTTGTACAAGAGCAATTATCAATTAAAATAATTAAGAACATTAAAAAACACTGCATTCATATTTTATCGATATGAAAATTGACCTTTTTATTTTATAATATAATATCTGTGAAATGTTTACATGCTATTGATTAGATCATTATTCTTTGAAAAACACTGACACCTAAAAACAGCAATAGTTTCTTTACTTTTTTTTACTGCGGAAATTGTAATTAAAGAATAATTAATTATTCAAATTCTTTTAAAACGTGTCAATAAAATCTATATTGGTCTTATACTAAGATCATTTTTCTACAATCTTTACAATGCAAATGATTTTTATGTTGTATCATATGAAATGATATTTTTTTTGGAATAGTATTCTAACAATTTTACAATTCCTACTGCTTAACATGATTACACTGAGAAAGGAATTATGCTTACCTATAGGCATTCACTACAAATTAAGGGATTTCTAAACATTACTGCAACTCCTATATTAGAATAAATACTATTTTAATCTCAATTTCAGATCAATTCATTAAGGAAACCATTGAGGGGTATTATTAAAGCAAATGTTGATGTTTTCAAATTGTTGATAATTGATTTAATAGTAAATTATTGTTTATATTAAATTTTTTATAGAAAACTTGTTTTGAATTGACATTTCTGTACATTGAACTTATTTTGATTAAATAGATTAGAACATATTTGATGATCTGATGGGTATACCACACTGTCACAACATAATCAATTTATATGAGGTGTCTGCCCACAAATATAGATTAAGAAAACACAAATGATTCCAACTTTAATTTTCCTTAGCGACTATCTGAGGAATATCAATACTTGTTTTTGTCTATGTTGTTGGTTTTCCATGCTTCTGATTCCCATTTAAACATTAAGTGTACTATGGTCTTGTAGAGGTTGATTTTCGTACTTCAGAATAGATTCTTCCTCCTTAAATACTTGAACAGGCCATGGAGGCATTTATTTGTAGAATTGATCCATCTGATGACATCATTCTAGAAGTTTATCTCGGATTCCAGGTAAACCAAAGTTTCCACTCTATGAAAAATAGACAGTCCAATGTCGAAGAATGCAATATGGTCACAACTATCAATGACTTGCAAGTTTAGTTTTTTGTTCATTAACTGTGAGACCAAATTTCCTAGCAGCTGTCTCAAAAAAAGTGAATGCTGAGAACTTGCCACAATGTCAAGGCATCAAACTATCATAGCAGTTTTACAGTTTTGTTAAAAAGACTGCTTGTTGTTTTGATATTTGATTTTTAAAAAGCCATTTCTAATGCCATATTGAATAGGAGACAATCTCGGACATCTTGTCATACTTTGATACAGGTTTCAAATGATTCGGAAAGGTTTGATCTCTCATGGATTGTATATTTTGAATTTCTTATTGTCATCTTGACTAGTCTTGTGAGTTTTTCTAAGACTTTAATTTCTTCCAATGCCTTATATAGTTCTCTGCCAATACTGTCATTTGCTAACCTAAAGTTGATGAAGATATGGTAAGAGGTCAGCTTGTACTACATGCCCTTTTCCTGGATCATAGACAAAGTAAAGATCTGGACGGTTGTTGAGTACCTTCTTGTTATTAAAGGATGCTGATCTCAGAATAAATTAAATAACCTTCTTAATATTTTTTCTTTGCTCTTTTTTATGATTTAGATTTATGTGCGTATAATTTAATGGATAGAGTTATAATATACAAAATATTATTATTTCATAAACATGCATAAGTAATTTTTTTTTTTATTACTCTGCAAACTGCTGAATATAAGATGAAAATTAGCAAGGTGGACTTTGATTTAGAAGGTAAGCAACAAGATGATAGACAGGACATTGAAAGAGGAACAATGTTCTTCTGCAGTCAGTGGTTGTTAATTAGTTTTGTCTTAGCCTAAAGAGAGAGAGAGAGAGATATCAGTGCCAAAGCACCAGACATCATCAAGAAACTGCAGAAGTGTGAAGTTGTGAACAAGTCCTAGAAGTTGTTGGTAACAGAAGAAAAACCTTTCACGCTTCTGAAGATTTTCGAATAGCTAACTACAGGCTAGCGACTTTGCAAACTTCCTCTTAGTCCATTGCTATTAAATAAAAATTGTAAAATACATTTTTTGTTCAATAAAAGATAAAAATTCAAGACCTGGATAAAAAAAATAGCATCAAGTCATTGTGACAAATTTTGTTTCCTATTATATGAATGAATTATTATATGAACTACAAATATGTATGAAAAAAGAACAAACTCTTGTTAATTTAAAAATGATAAAAAATTGTCGTTTTTTTTTTTTTTTTTTAATTGATCTGTTACAATTTCTAATGAAATGAAAGTTTACTGGCCATCAATTTCAGGTGTGCCATTTTCACTAAATTTGATGACATGTCTCTCTCAAGGTATTTTATTACTCTACTTTCTGTGATGATCTGTTCCAAGTTTCCCCTTATTTAAAAATTCCCAATAATTATAACCCACAAAAAATATGGGTCATGCCACCCACTTAAAAATTTGCTTCTTTGCCTACAAATGGGCTCCCCTTAAAGTTTTTGATGGCACAAATAATGTCATGCCATATTTGATCAATTTGATATAATTTAACATTGTAGAAAGGAGTTTACTTACATTAATTATTCTTTTCTAAGCAAAATTTTATTTTATTTAATGAAAAATGAATGCAATCAAAGGCATTATCTGTTTTGACTCAATTACTAGATTATATTTTAGGAAAGATGTATTGAAGGGTGTTATGCTTTAGAAAAATGGAAACATATTTACTATAGCTAGAGATAAATACTTTTTAGGACTTACAGCATTAGTTTAACTGAATTAGCTTTTATATTTTGCCATGTAAGACAGCTACTAAACCAATGAGAATATATAAGCGTTTCCTTAAGTTTCCCACTTTGAATATTCCGGTAATATATGACATTTTAAACAGCAAAAATTAGCTTACTACATTATAATGAGTAAAATATTATGTACAGCTATTTACATTTATAAAATGTACTTGAGAATAAATTAAAATAATTTAAACTAAAAGATTATTAAAAGTTTTTAAATCAAATTAAAAAAAAAAAAGAAAATAAGTCTAACCTTTTGATTTAACGAAATTAACCTTATAATAAAAAGTTTTACTTATATACCAGTTTAATAATATAATTCACTTATGTTTTTATGCTTGAATATCATGATATTTTTTTTAAATTTCAGCAACTACATATTAAAGTAATAGAGATATGTAATGTAAGTTTATGGCAAGTAGATTTAAAACAATTATTTTTATTGAAACATTTGTAATTAATGCTCATCTAGTGACGAATTTTTACTTTACTTGGAATTTTAATTTTTAATACAAGTGTATTTATTTGTACTAAAAGAGTTCAAGAATATCTGTAAAAATTATCCCAATGAAATTTTGAATCTTAAGTTGGCAAACACGTCTAGGCTGTGGAGGAAAGGCTGTTGTCTCATTCATATCCATTATCAGAGAAAGAGCAGTCTATATCACATAAAGTGAAAGAAAAGAGGTTAAGATTGACCTAAAATGTAACAAAAAGTATCCCTCAGTAACTACACTACAATGAATGGTGGGCGGGATTGCCGAATGGGCTAACGTGTGTGCACAGCACTGCTGTTGCCCAGCAACCTAATCTATGAAACAATGGATTTAAAATAGTACGAGTTCGCATCCTGGTGCCGGAGGAGTCTTTTAAATCCCAGCCCACACCTCCTGGCCCCGGAATACTCCGTATAGTCTTAAAGGCGAAGAAGGGGAGGATAAAAAAAAAAAACACTACAATGAATGTAACAGTTATCAGCAAAAGTCCACACAAAAAGGCAAAAACAAGGTGGGTAAAAACTAGCCAAAACATGATAAAAGAAATTCATTATAATAAATTAAAATTAGTTTAATGGTGGTATTATGTATTGACCACATCTCCCGACCAACTCCTTCTCATAAAATTAGCTTACTTATTCTAATGATTATTGAACAATGAAGATTGTTTACCTCTTTTAATTACTTTTAAAATAATTATGGTTAATTTTTACAAGAATAATATTTAAAATATTTTATTTAATTTATAAATCATACTTGGTTTGAAATTTTGGTACTTAAAAAGACATAAAAGCTCATTTCAAATACTTTGTGTCAATTACATGAACATTGCTGACAGTTGGTGAATAATTCAAGATGGACAAAAAACATTTTAATAACAAACTAAATGGATATACAATGGATCTATAACAAATGAGCCTTAAACAACAATAACAAAGAGGTAAAAGAATATGTTTTAGAAATTTAATGTTGTAATATCTTCAAAATATTCATAAAAAGTTACTGGATTAATGTCTGCCTTATGCTTGATTTATTATTATGAAGAATAGAAGCAAAAACCAAATAAATAAAACAAAATAAAAATTAAATGAAATTAAATATTAAACAATATTTTAGATCTATTGGCCCTTTTCCCAGCCTCTTCCTAACTTGTTTTGTTCAGCATAACTTTTACAAGAGTATGAAATGATAACAATTAATTATTGATAATGATTTATACAGAATTTGAAATAGCTAAAAATCTATAAATAATATCAGAAATAAAATACAATCGCCTGTGAAATCTTTGGTATTTTTCAGACAGCGCCTTACTTTAAAATACTTTCTTCATCTGTATTTTGACCCTGTAGAAATCTTAACGATATGCGTTTAATATTTACAACATGAGCTTATAGGCATAGCTCTTCTATGTCAGTATGTGAACTGTGGTGATGAACCACATTGGAGTTGGCACAGTGGTAGACATAATGTTGACTGGGTGAGAAAGTTGAGCGGCGCCTTGATGAATAGCGAACCCATCTTGTCGGTTGGTGCATGCTTCCATAGCGATGAAGTGTTTTATCTAGATCCATGCTATCTCCTCCGAAGCTCGGTCTCCATCTTCTTGATTGGCGGAATGGGCATCTCTGTTTGAATTCTATTTTGAATTTTTCCTGAAAACAAGAAAGGAGGAAAACTTTATACATGCTAAAAATCATGATGGCTAGTCCAGCTGCATTGAACTAGATTCCTTGCATTTTGATAAGTCTAAGCAATTCATAATTTTTTCTCAAATATGTAAGGGGAAAACATGCCTATCATCAACATTTTTTTTTTTTAGTTTCATTTACTTTACACTTTTTAAGGACCTATGTTAAACAAATGTTTATAAAAAAACACTTTGATACTATTTGCATTTGGATGTTTGGAATCACACCTAGACTATTTGGAGCCAGAGGAGAATTAATATTAATTTTTAAAAAAATTTAACCCTTTGACTGTGGCCGGGATAAATGCCTTCCTACCTGGGCGGTCGCCACTTAAACAGGTAGGGGTAAGTCCCGCCTTTATCATTTGACTTGTGGCTTGGTTGGTGCATTCATTAATCTCCCGTAGCTGGCTCAATGCAGTCATTCCGGATTCTGACCATTTGGAAGCTATCAGTTGAAGATTTATTCTGAACCCAAGGTATGTCCTTTCCATCCAAAACTCAAAATAAATGTAAGTGCAATAATAAAATTTATATATAACTGTGCTATGTTTCAGTATGAAACATTTTTAGGTAAGAAAAAAATTTTTAAATACAAAACAATAGATAATTTGAATCCCACCATCGGTTTACTTTTTTTAGAAATAATATTATTTAATTTTTATAATCACTTACAGTTATTTTTATGATAATTTTCAGTTATATTGCTTTTCAGAAATGAGCAAATATGCAAGAAAGCGAATTGTTGCATTAATATCGCTCTAATTTTGTGTTGCAATGTGTGGCCTGGAAGGCATATGTCACTTTTATTAAAAGTTGAATAAAAAGGTTAAAATGCATTTTTGAAAGCTAAGATATTTCAGGGTGACTCAATAGCATTTTAAACAAATTTATGCAAAAAAAAAAATCCGTTTTTCTAGACTTCTTTTTGGATTTCAGGATGCACCATCTGGTAGAAACATGAGAATGAGCTCCCATAGTCAAAGGGTTAAAAAATGAATTTTCTTGTGCAAATAAAAACTGTATGTAATGTTTTGGCAGTCAAGTTATCGTTCAATAACAAACAAATAAAACAAGACCCCTATTGTGGGTCTCCCTGAAGAGTGGGCCCCTATATTAAAATATATCTAATTTCTTAATAACTGCTGAACCATTTTTAACCAATTTACTGGGAAATATTTTTTAAATTGTTGCTCTTAATTTTTTTTAATTTGCCATTTGGCCATAATACTTCTGCCATGAGACCTTTTGCAGCCCAATAAAGTTTTACAAATCTTGATTTGTTAGTTTCCTTTGCAGAGAAATTCCATATTATATGTTTCAGATGAGGACAGTCATGTAGATAGTTTGATGTCATGGCTAAGTGTGTATAGCATCATTAGTAGCAAGAGTCATTTCTCATAATCTGTTTTGACTTTTGAAAAGCCTTCGATTCCACCGACCATAAGGACCTTCTTCCCAAATTCCAAAGCCTGCCAATATGAAATAGTGTTGTGAAATGGTTCCATCCCTTCTTATTCCACCGCTCACAGACAGCTGTGATTCCTAATTAATTTCCATCACCAAAAATCCTCCCTATATCATGGAATTCCTGACTGTACATTCCTCTATTCACTCTCTTAATACCAGATCTCAACTTATCCATTTATTCCATTCTTATAAAACTACATCCTTTAGCAAATTTTTCATCATTCATGCTACTTCCTTCTACAATTCTTTACCTATCACCATATGGCAATCCTCATCCATAAATTACCTCAAACAACTCTTATTCCATCACCTACTTCATTTTCAAACTTCTGTAATATGTAATACTTATTGGATTCTGTAATTACATCTGCTCACTAACAATTAATTGATAAGTTCCATTTGATATGATTTCATTTTTTTTTTGTATTAATGTAAAACATGTAAAATTTACTAGTGTACTTTGTTTAATATTGTTGTTCAAGCATGATTTGCGATAGAATAATAGACCTATGTTTTGTACCATGTTATTATTATTCTTAGGCCACTTCAGTCCCAGAATAAAATAATTTTTTCATTTAGTTTCATTCACTGTATCCTTTCTGCATATTGTTGGTAAATAAGATGTATTATGTCATTCAGAGATGTTTTTTTTTTTGCATTTCGGTTCTTGCAGAAAAACATTAAGGTGTGTGAGGCATGCCCATGGAAGTTTTCTTTGGGTTGAAAATCTGTCTGTTCATTTTTCCAAATTCTAACATGCATGATTAGAAGGAGTCGTAATCCTCCTTGAAAATTGTTGGAATAGATATGGCGATTGTTGCTCTGTAGAAATCAGAACCCAAAGAGTCAATGTAATAACAAAAGTTTTTCCATCAAAGTTACAATTATCTATTTTTTTCTCCACTTCCTTATGTTTTAGCCTTTATGGGTTTTTTTCCTAGGCCTGGGGGAAGGATACCAGAGTTAAAAGTCCCCCTGGCCCCAAAATGTTAACTTGTACTTATTTTATCATTTTATATTCTGTTTAGCAGGTTGCAAGGAAAAGCCTATTTGGCACATATTAGGCCACTTGGAAACTCACCTCCCCCAAGGCCTCTCAATTCAAAACTTCTGATAAGCTAACCAACATGTGTAACAATGTACTTAAGCTCTGAATACAAACCCTCTCCCCCGATTTATTTTGCTTCAGTGGCTTACTCATCAGTGTTTAACCGTAGCTATTCTTTTTCCAGAGTAAAATATTCAATGCAATGGGCCTTGAGTTCAATGGGTACCATTACATTATATTACTATTAAAAGCAATATTTGTTAAAAAAAAAAAAAAAAGATGAATTATAATTGTGCCTCAGATATCTTCATTGTGTTATACTTCTGGATAAACTCAGCAAAATGAAACGATATAACATAATGAACATATAGGCATCATGCATTCAAAACATTGTAAATAGATGTATTTACTTGTTAAAATATTTAAAACCTGATATATTAGTAGCTTTAATATTTTTTAATAAGCTATGCATAGTACTTGAATGAAATAATTTATTGTTTTATACTTTTATTAAACAATTAAATACTTTAAAAATATATTTACTTACATTGTATATACCATAAATGAAAGGGTTGTAGCATGAATTACTCATTGCCAGCCAGTCACAACAGAACCAAATGATGTTTATGTAGCGGTACCTGTTGGATAAAAATAAATTGCATTTCTTTATCAATAATTTAGAGTTTAAAAATGAAGAGGTTAGACATTTCAAACGACACTACTTTCTTAGAATCTACATCAAATCTTTTCATGTCAAGGAAGCCTAGGGACATATGATAAAAGATATATTGAAAATATTCTGTTAACTTAATTTAATGTAACTGGTTCTACAGAAATTACAAAATATTATAAATAAATTTCGATTTAGGTATATTTATACTTACCCATTTATCTGAGGAAAAATGTCTTGTAGTACATTATATGTTTGTAGTGGTAACCAACATATTGCAAATAGAGCAACAACAATCACTAACATTTTTATCACCTGAAAAATTATATTTAAACTTTTTACTTCTTATGAATAATACTTGTTTTAAAAAATATATAAGGAATTATGTATGAGAAAAAAATAAATTTATAATTATAGATTTTAAAAAGCATTTCAAATAATAAAATCAAGAGTAAAATAAAATAAAAGATATTTTAATTGATCATGAAGTTCTGGAGTATTTAAATAATTCTGATAAAATCTAAATTTATAATGTTTAAGTCATTTAATTATAACACCACTCTGAAAGAGTTCTAATTTTTATTGAAGATTTGGAATGATACCTACTCGTAATTAGCTAAATTTATGTTACTGATTAAATGAGTAAGTAGTCATTTTTCTGGCTTTAAAATTTGAAACTAAACTTTATATATAATGACTGCTTACTCATTATTAAATTTAACTAATTATGAGTAAGTATCACATTCCAAATCTTCAATAAAAATTAGGAACCTCTCAGAGTGGTGTTTTAATTATATATATATATATATATATATTTACCAATAGTATGCAGAAAGGATACAGTGAATGAAATTAAATGAAAAAATGATTTTATTCCGGGACTAAATTGCCCTAAGAATAATAATAACATGGTAAAAAACATAGGTCTATTAAATATGTATGTAAATTAGAAATAGTATATCATAATAAAAACTGAGCCATTTTTAATTATTTAATTTATTATTCTCACTTTTTTCTTGTTCCGCATGAGGTTTGCATCTCTTGAATGTTGAGCATTTCCTGGGGCTCTGGACCCCCAAAGTCTCAGAGCCATTCTTGCATATGCATATGATATAACACAAAGAGGCGTCAAGTACTGCACTGACACTAGGATCATCCTGTATGCCATCATTCCATTATTTGAAAGTCTTGTGTTATTGCAGAAAGGTTTTTTATATACCCGTCCAGCTGAAAAAGTAAATAATTTTACAAAGAATAAAAATATCATTTTTTCTTTACATAATACATTTCAAATTCAACTGCTTAATTTATTAATAGTCAAAGACTTTGGTAACATGAACTTTATATGGTCCATAAAGAATCATCCTTATAAACATGAGAGTGCTAAGATGCTGAATTGACTATTCCTTACTGGAAATTCAGAATGAGGTTTATCCTTATAATAACTAACGAGCACTTAGAGATCTACAGGGAGAGGAAGGGAAGGGACTTTCTTTAAATATTATAAATAACAATCAAATTAAAATTTACAATATACATGAAATTAAAAGAATTTAAAACAAAATGAAAAAAAAAATTATGGAAATTGATAGTTATTTCAATGACAAAATACTTTGTTAGACAAATGATCACTAAACTGTTCTCCCACAAGCCATTTGATAAATGGTTGTCTAATTAAAAAAAGTCACTAAGTATATTTTTGATGGTGCTAAACTTTTAAGTATATTTTTTGCAAATTTTGACTTTATTAATGGATTCTAAAAGTAAAATAAGCTTACTATAAAAGGGTTAGTGTCATTTTGGTGCACTTGTGGAGACTAATGTCACTATAGTTACACTAATGTAATTGCCCAATGTTACAGAGGAAACATTTTTCAAAGTACCATGGTGTTTAATTTTATGAGTTATTTAATGACTTTTTGTAATAAGCTAATGATATTTTCATTTTCTGCAAATAATTGTTATATTTTCATTTTCATTGTGAAGGTAAGGCCAATTTATAAACAACAATTGATTATAATTTTCACAGTACAGATTTATTATACTATATTATCAAAGGGCAATTTTCATGAAACTGATGGAAATAATAATATAAATAACTTACACTGGTCATGCTCATCGACATATGTCACACTAAGAGCCACAGCCATTGGAGTAGCCAGGACAGCAGCCAGTAGCCATATGAAAGCAAGCAATAGTTTCGCTCTAAGTTTTGATGGAGGTGCACTGAAACAAATATAAAGTAGAAGTTATTAACTTAATTCCAGAGTTACATTTGTATAATTGACATTAAAAACTGCAATACTCGCACGAGTTATTATTTTGAGTGATGGATTACACTCTGTAAAATTAATTTTAAATTTGAATAATTTATTAATTAAAAATAAATTTGTTTCTAGAAAAGAAATTTTACGATTTGCTTCTCAATAAAAGTAAAGAATTGTGTGTTTTTATTTGTTTAAAAGGTTTAAGGTCTATTACTATTAAGCTTTAGATACTCTTTTGAAGTATAGATCAGCACAATATAATAAGATGTTATTGAAGAATTAAAATAGTTAAGATTCAGTCAATATGGAAGTATTATTAACCCTAGAATGACACACTGGGGTGTGACACACCCAACAACATTTTCAATATTAATTTACTTTTATATAAGTAGCTATTTGGCCAAGGTTTTTTATTTAAATAAACATCAAACAGCCTGGTTAATTACATTCATTAGCACTCCATTGTTGGGCTTGTATCATTATTGGGAGTTATCGAAAGTCATTATGTAGTATCCCACACCCCAGTGTGCTGTCTATGCAACTGTTCTGTGGATTTCGTGTCTCAGTGTTTTCTATGTTATTTTGAAACTTCCAATAGTTCAGGTGTGGATTTTTAATGTTGTATTTGTTAATTAGCGGTATTTTCAATTCGGATGATAATGTATAGAAACTATTTTTGTAGTATGGCAACTAACAAAAAACGTATTCTTCTCCTGAAGAAAAACATAAATTGTTATTGGACTTAGAAGATGAAGAAAAAATGCATGGAGTATATTAAATAAAGATGGCACACTAACTGTTGATCAAATGTGTCATGTTTTTTAACAGCAATGTCAATGACATTTCGCTTCGCGGAAACTTAGGAACTGAAAGCCAGGCCATGGAGAACTATATATGTTTCCTTGAGGTTTAATACCTGGTTACGGAACGCTCAACTAGGTTTATTGACATTCTAGCGTTCAATGTAATGGAAATAGGGGCACTAACAGTGGTTCTCATGATCAGGTTTGAAATAAACAATCAGGATCAAGACATCAAGGTACAGTACAAGAAATGCGTATCTTACTTAAATGAAAAGTATAGAAATGAATTCGGCGAGAGAGAATTCTCACTTAATGAGCTATGGTTCAGAAATAGGGAAACCATCCCTTTCTACAAATAATTTCTAGCAGAGGCTCGGTTTTGGAAGGGAGCAGATACAGATCATGGTAGAAACTATTATTTTGGACTCCTTGGGAATCCTCCATCACTGCATGTATAGATTGATCTTGGCTTTAGCTTATTCGATTCTGTATACTGTTCTTGGTATATTAGCTGTTAAAGTGGGACCACCTAATTCTCTCTTTTATTTTTTGTAATATCTGATGATTGATTGAGTATACTTTGTGGCTTAGCAACTCAACACAGTTGAGTAGCCATGTAATATTATTGTAGTTCTCTCTTATATTGCTCTTTAAACAAGTACATCTGTAAATATAATGAATCGTAACAATATAAATACGTCAGAATGAATTCTTATAAATTTTATAACAAAATCAAATGTTATATTTATTCGAGAATTTGTAAACACCTTTTTTTTTTTCAATTTTGTTATTTAATTAAAAAAAAAAAAGATTTTTTGGATAAGTCAAATTTATTCGGTTCCTTCCTATATTAACATTAAAGTAATATTCCTGATATGTTAAGGTTCTGCTTAAACCTCAAGGATAACATAGGAGCTGCAAATTTTCCATTACAAAATAAAATTCTATAAAATCATTGTATACTGATCTACAAGACAATACTGAAACCCATTTGAACCTACGGACTTGAACTTTGGGGGACAGCAAAATTCTCTAACGCATCCAATCCTTTCAATCCAAAGTCCTCCGAACAATAGTCGATGCTCCGTTCTATGTAACCAACAAAACCCTACATCATGATCTTAATATCCCATTTTTCCTTGACCTTATCCCTGAAAATTTTTCAAAATTCCATCAGAATCTTATCAATCATCCAAATCCCCTAGCCCAATCCCTATCTAGTTCCACTCATCCCTACAACCCTCCTCGAAGGTTGAAACGGCAGTGGCCCAGAGATCTTTTATAGTATTTATTTTGGAGTTCTGGCAATGGCCAGATTCTCCACTCAAGACATGAGTGTATGTGGCTAAAGCGCTCTTGCTCAAACTCCACCGGCTTTAGCACCGGTGTGGCGGTTGAGAGAGTAGCGCAGGGATTTGGGTTCCCTGCCTGATTGTATATATTGTATATAGGTATGACTATATTTCTATGTTTTTAGTTTACTTATATTTAGGTTATTTTATTTTTTGTAATGTATATAGTTTTTATTTATTATTATTTAGTTATTATTTTACTTTTGTTAATTTTATTTCTTTTTTGTATATACGGGGTGAATGTGTTAATTTATCAATATAATTATTGTCCCTGTGACAGAATGTTATATGTCTAATAAAAAAAAAAAAATAATAATAAAAAAATAAATAAAATCATTGGTAGCAACAGAATCTTATCTCTCAGGATAAAAATGGCGATCCATATTAATGACGTGATAAATATAAGGAATTAAAACATATGAATACAGCTATTTAATCAGAACCCATTGAAATGTCTTCAGTTAAGTTAGGGAGGACGGTGGAATAACGAAGAAACTTTGCGAAAAACGCCTTTACATATTCTAATTTATGCTTGCAATGTGTTGTAAGGGTTCTAATCCCATAAATGTTTTATCTTCCTTAAAGCCAGAAAGAAGAAGTGGAAGGGCGTGGGTTGCGGTTGATATAGGAGGATCAGCCCACACTGGTGGTTGATCCTCAATAATCCTCTGTTTGTGACTAGTGAGGAAAGTCTTTAATGGTTCTCGAGAATCGATTGCGGTTCTCAGGCTTTGGTCTGGTAACAATGTCTCAACTGGAAAGGCGTCTTTATTCTCAATAATCCTGGTTAAATTATATTTTTTGAACAAAAGTTTTATGGTTTATATAAATTATTATATAAACTTGGATCCAATATATGTACATATTAATAAAACCAATGTTCGATATCATACATTTACTTTTGTATATAGATCGTTTCCATTTCTTGAATTTAATGAGATGAACAGTCAATAAAAAAAAATCCAAAAAAATGTGACATTTTTAAAAGTTCAAACATTCTGAAATGCGATGTTTATGGTTTTTTGTGCATACTTTACACTCATTTTATAAGAGTTTTACATTAAATAAATGCAGAAGTACACACCCGCCCCCCCCCAAAGGTTGATGGCGCACGGACTTTCCAGTCCTCCCAAGATATTTTATTGCTCTTCTCTTCTTAACACCAATGCTAGCTAAAGTAGAATTTTAAAAATCCTTGGTCATATACAATTACACTTTCAGTGATCTGTTCTATGCTTTCTTCTTGTCCCGTGGTTTGAAATGTTTCAATTAAAAAATTCATAACCCCGTCGAAATTCGCTCCCCATAAAAATTCAAAAACCCGTCAAAATGTGCCCCCTCAAAAATTTTGAATGATACCCTCTCATAGGCAACCCTGATAAATATAATTGATGGGAATAAGTGTTTTTACTACACTTTAGTTTAATGTGAAATAAGATTCATAATAAAATGTTTAGGCTATATTTGAATGCAGATAAAACCAAGGCTATTATCATCGGGTCCAGACATCTCATCAGCTCCCTTCCTTACTTCCCTCTACTTAACCTTAATAACCGTCCCATCCATTTTTTCCCTACAGTCAAAAACCTACGAATAACCTTTGACCAGAACCTCTCCTGGAATAACCATATCTCCCACATTACCCGAAAATCCATAACTGCCCTTAAACAACTCCTACGATTCCGTGATTGTATTCCTCTAAAATCCTGACAGCTCCTTTTAACCTCCTTTGTTTTCCCCCATTTCGACTATTGCTGTTTGGTGTAAGGAGGGCTATCTGCCAGGCTGGAAATGAGACTAAAGAGACTCATGAATTGTTTCATAAGGTACATTTTCGGGATCCCCAAGCATTCAAATATTTCACACTGGTACACCGAGTTGAAGTGGCTTTATCCTACTTCCCGATGACAATTCCTCCTTGGTGTTTTCCTTTTCCAAGTCTTCAGAACCAAAAACCCTACCTACATCCTGGTACTCCTTACTCTACGCTCCTCTATCCACTCTCTCAATACTAGGTCTCAACCTATAGACTTATATATTCCCTTCCTTAGAACTTCCTTCTTCAGCAAATCCTTCGTCATTCGTGCTGCTTCCTTATGGAACTCACTTCCTACCTCCATGCGTCAATTCTCGTCCACAAATTCCTTCAAACAACTCCTGTTCCAACAACTACTCCACATTCAAACTTCCCCTAACATGTAAAATTACTTGCATCTATACAATGTTTAATTTCAATCCATTGCACAATTGAAATAACAATTAACAGTAAATTAGTTTGTATTTTTATTATGTCAGACTGAAATCCATAAATTTGTTACTCTGTTATTATTCTTAGGGGACAGTAGTCCCAGAATAAAATTATTTTTTCATTTCATATTTGTTTCACCGTTTTTTTTTTTTACATTTTTCTTTTTCTCATTCCACTGACAAAATTTCGGCTGTTGAGTACTGAACAAGCAACTTGTGCTAACATAACGAACATCATTATTAAAATGGCGACAAGCCGAAACGTTGCCAATGTAATGAGAAAAAGAAAAATATAAAAAATGGTGAAACAAATATAGCCAAAACATTAAATGTTTTTATTTTTGTTGCTTTATTCCTTTATTACAATGATTGCAAGTGCTTAAAGTATCAATTCATTTAAATAATATACCGTACGTATTTCGGTTCTGAAAGTACATCAAACCATCTTTATTTTATCTACGATTGAGAATTTGTTTTGTCTAATGGTTATAACAGCGTGTGGTAACCATGGATATTGGTGTTTAATGGAAATTATTAATGCCATACCCAAACTATAATTTT